GCAAAAGAGTCAGGTTGGTCTTTAAAAGAAATTGTAAATTTAATAGTAAATATTAATAGATATGCTCCTTTACAAGGAGGTCTTAGTACATTTACAGAATTACCAAAATTTATAAGGGACAAACATGCAGTTGTAAATATAAAAAATAAAGATGAATTTTGCTTTCTTTGGTCCATTATATCAGCTTTACATCCTGTTGAAAATAACTCTTGCATTACTAGTTCTTATCCTCATTTTAAAACCGTATTAAAATATGAAGGAATTAATTTTCCCATTGCTATTACAGACGTACCTAAATTTGAAAAAATGAATAATTTAAAAATAAACATTTATACCATTGATTGCACTGAAAGAAAAAAATCGGATATTGTTCCTTTATATTTAAGTGAGCAATATTCTGAAAAACCGACAATTCACTTATTAATGATAAAAAATCAAGATTTCGATAATGATTTTCATCATTTTGCATGGATTCGTAATTTGTCTCGCTTGGTTAAATCTCAAATGACAAAAAGTAAATGTCAAATTTTTATTTGTGATAGGTGCTTATGTCATTTTAAATATCAATATTCTCTAGAAAATCATAAGCTTGATTGTACAGTATTAAACAAATGTAGAGTGAAATTATCAAACGAAAAAGATAATATTTTGAAATTCAAAAATTTTAAATTTAAAGAAAAAGTTCCATTCGTTGTCTATGCCGATACTGAAAGCATTTTAGAACCAATTAAAGATAATAAAATGGTTTCTTCTGCTTTTCAAAAACATGTGCCACATAGTGTCGCATTTTACCTAAAATGTGAGTTCGATGATTCTCTTTCAACCTTTGAACTATATAGAGGAAAAGACTGCATTTTATGGTTCATGAATAAATTAAAAGATATCGCAAATCTAGTTGACTCTTATTTAAAGAAAATCGTTCCAATGGAAACTTTAACTTATAACGAGGAATTAGAATTTCAAACTACTGAAAATTGTTATATTTGCGAGAAACCATTTAAAAATAATGATATTAGATGTAGAGATCACAATCATTTAACAGGAAAATACAGGGGAGCTGCCCACCAGGAATGCAATATAAATTATAAAAATTCTCATATGATACCAGTCATTTTTCATAATTTGTCAGGTTATGATTCTCATTTTTTTATAAAAGAATTATGCACGAGTTTCGAAGGATCTGTCAAGCTTTTGCCCATAAATAAAGAAAAATATATATCGTTTACCAAATACGTAGATGGAAAAAATGTGTGTCTTAGATTTTTAGATTCTTTTAGATTTATGCCTAGTAGTTTGGATGAATTAACAAATTTTCTTCAAAATGACAAAAAGAAAATAACAGCAAAATATTGCAAAAATATTAATGAATTTAATCTATTAACAAGAAAAGGCGTTTTCCCATATGAGTATATTAATAATTGGGAAAAATTACAAGAAAATCAATTGCCTCGTAAAGAAGAATTTTATTCCAAATTGAATGATTCGCAAATTTCAGAAGACGACTATACTCACGCTTGTCATGTTTGGACCACATTTAATTTAAAAAGTTTAGGAGATTATTCGGATTTATATTTGAAAACAGATGTTTTACTTTTAGCAGATATATTTGAAAATTTTCGAGAAACTTGTATTTCAGCTTATAATCTGGATGCTTTACATTATTATACTGCACCTGGGCTTGCATTTGATGCAATGCTAAAATTAACAAAAGTGGAATTGGAATTGTTGACTGATATAGATATGGTGCTTTTTTGGAGAAAGGTATTAGAGGCGGTGTCTCTCAATGCTCAAATCGGTATGCAAAAGCAAACAACAGATTTATGGGGTCAGATTTTAACGAAAATATTGAAGAATCCTACATAATGTATTTTGATATTAATAATTTATACGGTACAGGAATGTGTTAATTTTTACCTATTTCCGATTTTCAATGGGAAAAAAATATATTGGACTTTGATGTTTTTAAAATTGAGGATGATTCTCCTTATGGTTATATTTTAGAAGTGGATTTAGAATATCCTACAGAATTGCATGATTTGCACAAAGATTTGCCCTTATGCCCGGAACATTTTGTACCTCCAGGTAGTAAATTACCAAAACTTATAACTAATTTATTTTCGAAGGAAAAATATATAATTCATTACAAAAATCTGAAATATTACCTACAATTAGGAATGAAATTAAAAAATGTTCATAGAATTTTAAAGTTTAAACAATCACAATGGTTAAAACAGTATATTGATTTAAATACGGATTTCAGAAAACACTCTACTAATGCATTTGAAAAAAATTTTTATAAATTAATGAATAACTCGGTTTTCGGAAAAACTATGGAAAATGTAAGAAAACATAAGGATGTTAGAATAGTGACAAAATGGAAAGGTAGATTTGGAGCAAAAGCTCTTATCAGTAAACCAAACTTTCATAGCTGTAATATATTTGATAAAAATTTAGTTATTATAGAACTTAATAAATTACAAGTTGAAATTAATAAACCTATTTATGTTGGATTCACCATTTTAGACATATCTAAATTATATCTTTATGATTTTCACTACAATTATGTTAAAAGAACATTTGGTGAAAAATCGAAATTACTTTATACGGACACAGATAGTTTAATTTACCATTTCCATGTTCCAAATATTTATGATTTTATTAAACGAGATATACGATTTTTTGACACGTCTGATTACCCACAAAATAACATCTATGGTATTCCATTAGAAAATAAAAAAATTTTAGGGCTAATGAAGGATGAATGCAATGGAAAAATTATTACTGAATTTGTAGGATTGCGTTCAAAATTGTATACCTACAAAATTTTTGGTGATAAAAATGAAAAGAAAAAAGCGAAAGGAGAAAAGGGTTCAACATTAAAAAAAATTACAATTCGTGATTATAAAAAAGCACTTTTCAAGTTCAAAAACTTGATGAAATCACAGCATTTCATAATAAGTAAAAAGCATGAATTATATTCCATAAAACAAAAGAAAAAAGTTCTGAGTTGGCATGATGATAAAAGAGTGCTTTTACCCAAAAGTACAAATACTGTACCTTGGGGTTTTCAAAAAATTAATAATTAAATTAAATTAAAGGTGACAATTACATAATCACATTCATAAAGAAAGAAGCACCCATCTCACTCCCCCAGAGGGAGAACCTTATCGCACTCTACCTTCTTCTTTCAATCCATATACTTATCTCTGTCTCAAATATTCTAAACAAAGGCAGGGTATAAAAAGGAGCTTGATTAAGAAGGAGCTTCATTAAAGAAGTGACAATCAAATAATAAAATATATATATGAATATATATTTAATAAAGAGTGAAACAAGTGACCCCTAAGTAATTAAAAATTTTTAATAGTGAATTTTAATAACGAATGTGATTTATTTTCATAAATTGTGAAACAATAAAAAAATTTTATTAAAATTTTTTAAAAATTTAATCGCGATTAAATAAAGTGTGTTTGTTTCTTCTGCAACATCTCTTATAATTGTAAGTGCTTTTAATTAATTTCAAGCAATATTTAAAAAAATTTTAATTTATTTGAAATTTAATTTTTCAAAAATTTTAATTAGTAATAATTAATTAAATTAATTATTTGTAGTCAATATTCAATTATTTAAATTTTCTTTTAATTAATGAATTAATTATAAGCAATAAATAAACAATATTTCATTTATTAAACATTTAATTCTTTTAGAAATAAATTAAATTTTTTTTTAATTAATTATATGTAATATTTAAAATATATTTCACTTATGTAAAATATAATTTAAATTTTTTAAATTTTAATGTTTAAATTTAATTTTCTTTTGGTTTTTAGATTAAATTTTTAAAATTTTAAATTGTTTAAATTCAATTTTCTTTTATTTTGCTTTAATCAAATTTAATTTTTATTTTCCATTAATAAAACTTAATTTCTTTCATTTAAAATTTTAATTTTTTTAAATGTAGCTTAATTAAAAAAAGTTTTTAATTTAATTTTTTTGAATTTTAAATGTTTAAATTTAATTTTCATTTATTTCGGTTTTATTAAATTTAATTTAAAAAAAATTTGTTAATTCCAAATTCTCAAATTCGAATTTTAAAATTTTTTATTCAAAATTTTTTATTTTTTATTCATATTTAATTTTTAATTTTAATTTAAAAATTTAAAAATTTACTTTAATTTAAAAAAAATTTTTACCTAATTTTTTTAATTTTAAATAATTGATTTTTAATTCTCTTTTATTTTGTTTTAATCAAATTTTAATTTTGTTAATTTCTTATTTAAAATTTTTTAAATTTAATTTAATAAAATTATTTTTGATTTAAAATTTTTTTTAATTTAATTTAAAAAAATTATTTTTGATTTAAAATTTTTTTAATTTAATCTAAAAAAATTATTTTTGATTTAAAATTTTTTTAATTTAATTTAAAAAAAATTATTTTTGATTTAAGAATTATTTAATTTACTCTTTAAAATTAAAAAAGTTTTTAATTTTTAATTTAATTTTTAAAAATTTTTAAGTTTAAATTTAATTTTCATTTATTTTGCTTTTATCATATTAAATTTTTTTAAATTTAATTTAATAATTTATGTGAATTCCAAATTTTTAAATTCGATTTTTAAAAAAATTTTTTATTTAAAATTTTTTATTTTGCATTCATATTTAATTTTTTTATTTTAATTTAAAATTTTTAAAATTTTTTTAAATTTCAAATATTTTATTTTTTAAAATTTTTTTATTTTGATATAATTGAATTTTAATATTTTTTAATTTCTTATTAAACATTTGTTAAATTTAATTTAAAAAAAAATTACTTTTGATTAAAAAATTTTTAAATTTACTGTTTAAAAATTTTTTTAAAATTAATTTGTTTCATTTATTCTTTACTAAAATTAAATTTTGTACTCCTTCAAAATTTTAAATAAATTAAATTTTTTAAAATAATTAATTAAAATAAACAACTTGAATTAAAATTTTTAAATTAATTTATAGGATAAAAAAACATGTCATACACGAGGCATTTTATCAGAATTGAGGCTCCATCAGAATGGCTATATGCATGCTCAAATGGATCTACTTTTAAACAGCTGTGCATCGTCTCAATTGCGATGCGAGCCAAAGATTTGGCAAGAAGGGTTTTAAGCTCGCAAGGAAAGACAACTATTTCCTTTAATAACATCAAAGGGGAGGCCAGTCAAAATCAGTATGGATTTGTTATTAAGAGGATTTTGCAAACAAATGAAGTAGTAAGTAGGCTCTAAATAATAAATAAATAAATAAGACAATTTTAATAAATATAGCTAATTATTGTACCATTAATATAATAAATTAAATATAATATAATATAATATAATAAATTAAACTGCTTCTATGACAAGACGGATGATGAAAGGGCATATCTACGATTTATGAATATAGTTGTTGAAGTTTGCAAAATCAACAACTCAACATTTCGTTTAGAAAGGAAACCTGATTTGCATATCCCGCGCTACTTCATCTATCCCAATTTTGATTGTGGTTTACAGGACCTGGATTGTGATGAATTGGAGATTACAATTGAAGAGTGTTTTTCCAGGCATGAAAATCAAGGAGAAAATAATGCTAATAGAACCAGAGAAGAAGAAGAAGACTTGTGTGACTGCTGTAAGAAGGGAATCAAAGCTAGAGAAAGAAGTGAAGGGGACATGGACTCGGACGTAGGAGAAGACGAGGTGGACGAAAAAAAGGAGGGGAACACCGACGAGACAGAGACAGAGACAACGATGGACATAGAAGAAGACGAGGTAGAGGAAAAGGAGGGGAACACCGATAAGACGGAGGCAGCTGTGGACAACAAAGAAGAGGAGAGTCACAGAGACGAGATGAAAGGAGAAGAGGCGAACACGGACGAGAAAGAGACACTCTCCGATGACGAGAAAGAGGCACTGTCCGATGACGATAGAGAGACCGTGCTGTACAATGATAATGATGAAGATGAACCTATGGACGTAGAGGGCATAGAAGAAAATGAAATTAATGAACAAAATGCAGATGTAGGAGAGGAACAAGAAAAAGAAGAAGGAAAGGAAAAAAAACAAAAAACCGAATAAGTGGTTCATTAAGAATGATATTTCCACAATGTTTTTAATTATATTAATATACCTTTTTTCAAAATATGTTAATCTTATAATAATAATCTACCTATGCTTATATATTACAAAAAAATTTATAATAATAAAATAAATATGTATCAATAAAAGTTTATTACTGGAAAAATTTTTTTTAAATAATTGCTGTTAAAAAAAAATATTAATTTTTAACTAAATTTGTAAAATTATTATTAATAACTTTATTTTTCAAAAAGAATATTGATAATTTAAAAAAAATATTTATGAAAAAATTTAGTTAAAATAAATTAATTTTTTTAATTAAATTAAATTATTTATAAAATATTAACTAATATATATTTTTCTGAAAAAATAATGGAATGGTAAAAAAATTAAGACAACTAGTTAAAGAAAAATTCTTTTATTGTTTATAATATTCGTTTCAAAAAAATTACAGAATGAATTTTTAAAATAGAGTATTTATACTAATCGTATGTCTTATGAGTATACGGAACTGACCGCCGACAAATTCTTCACAAGGCTAAGTGATTTAATACATCAGTAAGTGATAAAATTCTTTCTCTTATTTCTTTCACATGTGATTTATTTTACATATTCTACTAATTTCAATTTTAACAATTATTTTTTTCAATACTTTATTATAATAAAAAAATAGTTGAATTTTAAAAATTTTAATCTTTAAGAATTATTAAAATTCAACTATTATTTATAAAAAATAAAAAATTATAAATTATGTTACGTCAAAAATAACGAGAAACCTTTTTAAATATACCTATCGTTCCTCGTTTTAAATTAGTTTCATAAATGAATCTAATTTGGGATGAGGATAAGTCAATGAGCCTACTAAATGTATTGAGAGAATAATTTATTTAAAAACCAACAAGAAAGAAAAGAGTTGACAAAATTACAATGAGTACAAAAATTATAAATCTTACTTAAAGAATAACGATTACTGGTGGTGTGATGATAATCTGTTGTCCGATCTCAATGGTGTTGAGCGGTAGACGAAAAGGGGCCTTTTGTTTGTTGTCCTCAGTGGTTGGGTATTAGACCTCTTGTTTACACTAATGAGATAGTGTATTGTATTGTTAAAATATCTGGTTCCTTCCAGACGGTTGTCGCCTCTTGAGCAAATTTCGATAGTTCGAAATTTGGAATGTGTTGTTTCAATATTAGGTATTCGTTGATGGATGAGATTATTTCCAATTTAATATTTTTGGAAATTGTTTAAAATTTATACTTTGCAAATGTATTATAAGAGGTTGTTTAAAGTTCACTTCTTATTTAATACTTGGGGAAATTATTCACTTTTGACAATGTACGTTCAAAATAATACTTGGGGTTATACGTTTCACTTTCAAAGTTGTACTTTGAATTCACTTGTAAACTATGTGATGTTTACTTGTTGACTGAGCGATGTGTACTGGTTGATTCCCAAAAAATTACTCTCTCTTATCTGCAGAAATTGTATCCCTTTTATACGAAACTGTCTTCATTAATGTAATGCTTTGGAATCATTCAAGTGTGGAATTTAAGTTGCACGTGTCGATATTGGTCAGATTAAGTGGGGGTGTTGGGCGACGGCATTGCTGCTGCTAGACGGGGCGACTGTTGACTCTTCTTCTGTCGCACGTGTCGATATTGGTCGGATTTTAAGTGGGGGTGTTGGGCGACGGCATTGCTGCTGCTATACGGGGCGACTGTTGACTCTTCTTCTGTCGCACGTGTCGATATTGGTCGGATTTTAAGTGGGGGTGTTGGGCGACGGCATTGCTGCTGCTATACGGGGCGACTGTTGACTCTTCTTCTGTTTTTTAGTTGGGTTGAGGGGCGAGTCGCTCGTTGCCTTGTTTGTTTTTCTTCATGTGGCGAAGATTATTTGAAGGTCGTTTAACTGATGCACTATCGTTATTCTTTTTACATGATTTAAAATATTACTCATCTTTCTTGAATTCATTATACTTGCAAATTGTTTAGATACAAATGAGATATATAAAATATGCTAATTATAATGCAATGGTATGAAATACATAGAATAATAATATAACATATAAGAAAAATACAATATAAAAAATAGGAAATACATTCATAAGTATCGAAGTTAAATTAGGTATATTAACAAGAAGTTACGGACGTAACAATTACTTAAAAAAATTTTTTTTTAATTTACAAAGCTTGATTTACTTTTCACATTGGAAACATAAATAAATGGTTAAATTCTTTTTCTCATTTCTTTAACTATATTCAAATATGATATTATAATTATTTAATTAATTTTTGTTTAAAAAATTATACAATCTTTCTTACAATACCACTTAATTTTGTCGTTTTTCATGATGGAAAACATTATATAGGAAGAGACTGGTGGACTTTACTACCTTGTGCTGATTTAATAAAATTTGCCATAATGCTACAGATAAATATTCATGGACCTGATGGCATATTTTATTTGGAGGGAAGATATTTCATTTTTGAGTCCAACAGGATTAAAATTGTAAGTTACTTATTTTTATTTATTTACTATTAAAATATAATTTCTATTTGTTTACATACTTGGTATCTTGTTTATAACTTAGGTTGATAAAGAACTTATATCCTGGGAGGGAAATAAAAGAATTCTTAACAAGTTGCCGACAATTGAATACGAAGGTGTAACAATCATTTTGCCTGCTGAGTTTGCTGCGAAAAAGAATTCGATTATTAACGATCATAAATCTTTGTTGGACAAATGTTTTGATACTGGAGAAACCTTTGTTTTATATAACCGAAAAGTTAAATTTGTTGGTGACTCAATGATTCGAGTACGTATTTTATTATTGTGTCAAATGTATTCTTCTATTGTTTGAATTATTATTATTTTAATTTCTTTACAGGTGTGCGAATATGATCAATGGTTTAATGAGCAATTTCAGCCGTTAGGTTATAAGCAGAAGAGAACTTCGTTGAAAACTTTTCGTATGCGCATGGAACTTCCTATGGAGTGGAAACTGAATTTTTATTGTTCAATAGATGAAGGATTTTCTAGTCTAAAAAGGCACGTGTTGGAATCGACAGATCCTTTGGGGACTCCCTTCTTTGCTGGAGGTGTGAAATGGATGATAAATGGTCATCAGGTGAATCGTGTAAGTGTGTAAAATTTATTTTCTTATTTATTATTTGCATTTAACTAAAAAAAAAACTTGTGTTTGTTTGTTTCAGTATTTTGGACCTTGATAGTGACATGTCTTATTATAATTATTGTATATATAATAATAGAAAAAAAAAAATTTTTAATGAAAAGAAAAATAAATCAAATTATAATATTCATTTTCTTTTATTGTTCTGTGTTTCTGTTTCCTTTTACTTCTTTCTCCATTAATTCTGTGCAAACCTCGTTTTTTACGTAATCACTCAGTAATTCATTTGTTTCTGTAATTCCAGTCTTTTTTGTCTTTAAATATAATATTATTATAGCAATTAAATTAATTACTGTTATTGTTATAACAATTAAATATAAATAATTTTTAATTTCATATTTTTCTGCATTGATAATTTTAGTAGAATTTTTAAAAGTAAGAGTATCGATATTTAAAATTTCTTTGTTAGGGCTTTGAACAAATACATTATCCTGTATAACAATTGGTGTTTTTAAAGGTAAGTTAGTCATTTCTTCTATTTCTATGGCTAAAGTTTGATTATTTATTCTTATTGAACAATCTGATGGTAATATTAGAATTCCATTATTTTTCAATAATTTAGTAAACGATTTTTTAAAACATTGTATGTCAATTTGTTTTAATTCTTTAGTAGTATATATCCAAGAGTTATGTTTTAGTAATGGTGTTAAAAATGGGAATTCATTTGAAATAGTAAACTTGCAGTTGTGGTACTTTGAATTAATTAATATATTGGATTCACAAGTTGGGTTTAATTTAACGTGATTAATAAATGGTGTAAATTTTTCTTTAAGATTTGAGGTTAAGAAGTACCTTTTATTGTCTTCGGAAAGACCTATTATTTGAGAGTCTACTTTTATAGAAATAAAAGATTCATTATAAAACCTTGGATATGAATAAATTTTAAATAATTTAAAGCTTTCTGATATTTGTTTTGGAAATGAGTATACAATAAATAAATTTTTATTTGAATGGAAAGGTTCGACTTTTAAAAATTTCAAAAGAGTTTTAGTATCTATGGTATAGTTTAGCAAATCTTTTTCAACTGGAATGGATTGATGCCATTTATTATTTATTGAAGCTACAAGAATTTCTTGTATATTTTGTAACGTTCTAATGTATTTTTCAATTGAATATAATTGTTCATATATGTCGTTTGGACTAGGAGGATCTAAAATAAAAATTTGTTGCATAAACGTATTTTTATTTGTAGTTTTCATTGTGATATTATTAATTGTTTCCTTTTTTTCTATGAAGTTAAATATGCCCGTTTTTTGTGCTGGTTCTGTTGTTTCAGTTATAATTTTCTTTGTTTCGTAAATTATTGCTTCGAATTCTTTTATTTTATATTCAAGTTGATTTCTTATTGAAATGCAGAATAATATGCAATTTTTCTTACTGTTTTCATATAAATTTTTAAATTTTTCTAATTTGCTAAATAATTGTTTGTGGTTAACATAATAAATAAATTTTACTTCACCAATAGGAAAATTTATATTTTTAAGAGGTTCATAATATAATCCTGGTGATTGCGTAAATTGAACATCTTGTGGTATGATTTGAAATGTGCCTTTGTTTATTCCTATCAAAAAGGCAAAGATTAATAAGATCATTTTATTTTTAATCTCCATTTCTGAAACAGAATCAAGTATAATTATTTTTATATATCATGATAAATGTTCTGTTTGCGATGTCCGCAAAAAGTACATTTTTTAAAACTTTTCTTTTTTTTATTTTTGTAGGATGAGGAAGTCGAAGGAAAATTTGTACTTTCAAAAGAATTTTTCTTTTCATTCACGACTGTCATTTTTTCAAAAGATTTAGTTATTACATGTTCAAGGGAATTACTGTAATTTTCTATATTATGTAAAGTTGCTAAAGTTATTAATGCTGATATAGCTTTTGCTGTTAAGATGTCACTTGATATAGCTGTTTTTTTTATTTTTCCTGCAGTGCAAATTGCTAACCAATTTATTGTAGTTTCTGATACGTTTGTTTTAAATAATGAAAATTTCGGAATACCCATTTCTTTTTTATAACAGTAATCATTTAGTTTTTGAATAAGTCTTATTTTAAATGTCACTGTTGCTTTTTTCAAAAATGCATTTTCTCCATTGGTTAATTTTTCAATCAAACGATACGCTGCATTTTCTCTCGATAACTCTAGATTGTCACTTGTACTACAAATTATAAAATGTTTATATTTTATTTCTGTAACATATTGAGGTTGATTAATGGCGTCCGCCGGTGCTTGATAATTTGAATTAATTAGGAGGTCGTCTTTCGTGTTTTCTTTTAATAAGGTATTTAGTATATTTAGAAAGGTAGTTGCCATCTTATAATCGGAAGGTTGTTGAATTGTTATGCAGTCGTGGGTACAATTGAATTACTTCTTCGTTGTTTTTATTACCTTCTTTTTTCTGCAGCAGGTTAATTTCTTCTATAGGGGCTGAAGCTTCGTTTCCTTCTTGGTTGTTTTGATTTTGCGTTGGTGGAGTCTTGGGGGCCGTTCCTAAATGTAATAATACATTAGTTACTGAGTCCCATATGGAACCTAAAAGGTGTAGGGACCATCCAAACACACTATATAATGCATATCCATGTATAAAGGTGTCAGCAATAAATTTGATTGTTTTCATTACTATTATTATGCCTATAAATCCTGCGCTTACAGTTCCGAAACTAGTAAATGTAACCCAGATTTTTCCCCATGCTGATTCTGCTATTTTATTTATTGTTTCTTCGTCTAGTACATTTGAAAATTTAAAGCCTGTGTTAGGTATAGTTTGTCCCATTATTCCTCTTGCGAGGGTATTTAAAATTATAGGCTTCTCTGCTGGTAGCATAATATGATTTCTTAATTTTTCTAGGTCCTTTTGTGAATATAACCCACTAGTAGCTAGGTATGGAGGAACATTATATTTCCAGGTTTCTTGCTTGTCTGGTTTTATAATTGCTGGCTGTACTACTGTTACTAATTTAGGCAACATTTGGAACCAAGAATTTCCTATCATAAACATTGATGGTAAAAATGTATTGCATTCTACTGGTGTTCCTATTTTAGTCAAAATGTGAGTTATAGGGGTTAGAAAGTACGTTTTATTATCTTTTGTAACAGGTAATTGCATATAACATTCTTTTGTTTCCCTTAAGTTAATTTCAACTGGTATACATTTGATCATATGAATAACTTCGCCTGCTAAGACTGACATGTACCCTTCTTTTTTCATTAAATGGTATGCAAATAAATCGGGAGCTTGAGTTGCTAGCACTAAAGCATTTCTTAACACTTCTTGTTCTAATAGGCATCTTTTTGTTAGTACGTCGTAATACAATTCATACATTTCTTTTCTTATATGGCGTTCAACGTAAATAAATTTCGTATTTACATAAGAAAACATATCCATGTTTTGAACTAACGGTTTTTTGTTACTTAAAGGTGATCCACCTGCCCTTGTTTCTAGAATAATTAATTTAGGATGTTCAGTTCTTATATATATATATCCACAAATCATTTCCCTTGATTTTTCAGCTAATGCAAATGTTATGTCTTGACTCACTAAAGAGTATAATATTTCTTTATTTTTTTCATTGCTGCCTATTTCATATGTTTTATTTGCTATTCCTTCATAAATTACTTCGTATTTTCTGAGGTTACAAACATCTTCTGGTATAGCACTCCAAAATGTATTTCCATTTTCCCTATCTATACATTTTGATTCTGATAAACTACAAACTGTTCCCGATTGTAAATGAATTTTGTCCGTTTCTAGATTGACTGTCGCAAAATATTCTTGTAAGGTTATCTCATACGATGCTTGTACTACTACATCTTTCCATGAGCCATAGACGTCACTATAAGATTCTCCATCACAATCTCCATCTTGATTTAATGATCCTGCTAGGGTAATACTACGGTAATTAGTAGAATTCATTTTTAAATCTGCAAATTTTGTGCTAATAGTAGGCGTAAAAATTCCTGTTATATGAATTGTGTTGCATACATCATAAGATACTTCATGAATATATACTCCTTGCCCGTTACTAACAGGTGTCGTGTGTGAAAACATTCCACAGTGTTCAATATGACGGCTGATTTTGATTTTACACTGAATAACTTTAGTTTTTGTAGTACCACTTAGTTGTATTAATTGTACGTAACTCTGTTCAGTTGTTACAGGTTTTTTTTGAATATCGCAATCTCCTACTTGTTTTAATGATAGAGTCGTTATATTAGGTTCTGTTGAACCACAGTCGAATCCTATAAATGCGTTGGATAGACTTATTATGATAAATAATAAGCATAGTTGTAGTATTTTCCTTATTCCGGTTTCCATATCTGGAAACAGATTATACTTATTTAGTATAACTTCTTTTTATTCTTCTTGCCTAATATGTGAAAGTTTAAGTCTATTTACATGTACTATCTTTTGTTTATTTTTAACTTGTATTTTAACGTTTCCTTTGTTTAAAATTTCTAGTATTTTGTGTGGACCTGTATATTGATTAGCAAATTTATGAATTTTTCTCCCGTGTAATAAAAATACTTCGTCTCCGAGCTTAAGATTTTGTGGATTACAATTTTTGTCATAATAAAATTTTGACTTTTCTTTTGCTAAAATTAAATTTTCTCTAGCGATGTTTCTCATTTCATGAAGTCTTGTTATTAAATTTGTTAAATAATGGTCGTAAGTTTCTAATTTCTTGTGTTCAAGTGGCGGATCGCTTGACGGTAATCGGGCCAATTTTCCAAAAATTAACTCGTACGGAGTACACTTTGTACCTTCATGAATGCTTGTATTATATGAAAACATGGCTAATTCTAACCAATCATCCCATTCTTCATTTTTATTAATAAATTGTTTTAAATATTCTCCTAAAACGTGGTGAGATCTTTCAATTGATCCATTAGACTGAGGGTGAAAAGCGGTTGTTTTAAATTGTCGAATTCTAAATCTTTTTGCTAATCTTCTCATTAAATTACTTAAAAAATCTGTTCCCTGATCTGTTAACACTCCTTTGGGT